GGGGCGGGGCCGGGGCGGGGCCGGGCAGTCCCCAAGGGCCGCCCCGCTGTTCCGCTGCTGGGCTCCCTGGCTGCCCTGACACCTGTGGCTTCGCCACCCGGCGGTTCGGGTAGGTTGGGCGTCCCCTGGGCTCGGCTCAGGCTTCCCTGTCCTAGGCGGTGGGTCTGTGATTGCTGTGGGGTTGTGCTGCCGCTAGGCTTCCCGCCCTAAGAGTACGCGCGACCTGAGCTTGGATCCTGAGGGGCTAGGAAAAAAGGTGAGCGCGCGTAGTAGTTACTGAAACCTCTTCTTTTGCTCCAAGTTCTTGCACGTGGAAAGTTCTGTTCAAACTTTTGTCCAGATGGCGCATCAGTAGTGACCGAAGCCACGCATCTGTCAAATTGGTCCTTTCGTGTGTGTGTGTGTGTGTGTGTGTGTGTGTGTGTGTGTAGGGGAGCGGGAGGGGAAGGTTGGTGAGGGCCTCGTACAAGTGGTCCTGGGAGAGAGACGTCTGCTCCCAGAGACCTGTAGGGGCCCACCATTCACTACCGAGAAGAGTTTCTTGGGACTCGGAAGTCGGACTTCTATGGAACAGGAGTTGGTTGGAGCAATTAAAGAAAACTAGTCTAGTGTCTGGGAAAAGCCTGTGGACGCGGGCCAGCGCCGGAATGACCCCTTGCAGGCTGTGGGGAGCGGGGCGTCTGGCGAAAACTTCCTTGCTCGTGCATCTGCGGCTGAGCCAGTAAGAAAGACTGCAGGCACAAGACTGCCACTTGTAGAGTTGAACAAGGGGCAGGAAAATAAAGGGGCACGGGGCGGGGGGCGGGGGGAGGAGATATCTGCACTGACAAAAATCTGGAAAAGTTGAAGTAGTAGGAATACTCCCTTTAGGGACGGGTGCTTCCTCATTCCGTCCTCCTCGTTCATTACAGCATTTTTGTGTGCATTTCTAAACAGTTAACTAAATGCAAACAGAACACTGTTGTACAACAGCGTGGACTTTTTCTTCCTTCCCCTCCCAGTTTTCTAATGAGTTCAAGGTCACCTTTTGGAGACTAAGTCACCTGTTAGGAATATTTTTATCGGAAGAAAGGGTTAGAAACTTTTCTTTCATCCTCCTTCCCTCCTATCCCCAGCCTCCCCACCCTCTTAGCCTGTCCCCCCAAAACACAACTCACTCTCTACTCAATCCTTAATTCTTACCACCTAAAGACCAGAGGAGAAGAAAGCAACCACCTTTGTCATGCAAGTACTTGTGGTTAATTTGGTCTTGTGACTCCTTGTTCCTTTGCCCTCTAGTTCCTTCGCCCTCTAGTTCCTTCAGTATTAAAATGCACCAATAGTGTTTTCTGTAAAGAATACAAAGGGCTGGAGGAGAAAAGGAAACTGTCCCTGAAGAGATGTAGTAAAGTGATTATTATTTTTTCAAACCACAAAAATTGGGACTCCGTGTTGAGTTCCAATATTTTTACCTCCTTTTGGGAAAGATATTTTTAAATTATAATTATCAATAAAAAAGCAGCTAAGTCTCTCCCTGCGTGTAAAATCTTACATTAAATAACCTATCCAATGCTGTGAATACTTTAGAAATTTGAAGTTCCAGTTTATAGAGGCCGACTGGAATTAGAAGTGTATTTAGGTTATGAAACAACTTCATGAAACCTTGAAAATAATGGTATTACAAACATTTCAAGGTTTTGAGATTGCTGCATTCGGCTATCTTCGTGGCTTGACAACTCACTATTCTTTCTGTTATTTAATAATGTTACTCACAATATATGGCATCTCTTACTAGTGATTTCATCAGTGCATTATAAAGGACATCTCTGGAGCCCTGTTCTGAATGTATAGTTGTAATTTCCCAGTTAACATTTTTAGATTCATTTCTGCTCTAGACTAAATTGGAGGCAGGGAAATGAGATGGGGATCAGCAATAAAAGAACCTGTGCACTGAGTTTTAGTACCAGATCATCTCTGAAGTCCTGGCAGACCCCCAAATTAATTCTGGGGTCTCATCAAGCCCCTTATGTGTATCATTGTTATCTTCAAAATAAGATTGTCTTTGGTCTTAAAGGACATTCAGATCTCTGAACTCTTCTATAAAAGGCAGATCCTCATTCTAGAGCAAGGTATCACTGCTCTAGAGGAGTATCTCTTCTAAAGTTTGCTTACATTTCCAGAAAGTGTCCTAACCTACTAGGCACCACTCCTGCCTGCCGCACTTGAGCATGTGGTATAGTGGTTAAGGGCATGGGTTTTGGAGACTGATGTATCTGTCTCTATTTCCTAGCTCTGATCTTGAGCAAGCTATTTCTGTTCTCCAAGCCTCATTTTCTTCATGTTTAGAATAAAGATAATAATAAGGCCTGGGTCATTATGAAGAGCAAATTAAGTGATGCATATCATAGAAGTAGCAAAGTGTCTACAGTTTAAAAGTCAATAAATGATAGGAACTTTTTTTTCCTTCAACACTGACTTCCCCTCCTCTTTTTCTTTTAACAAGATGAAATTTAACCTGGAAAAATATAAAGTCCTACACATGGGTGTTTAACAAGTAAGGAAGTATAGGGTGAAGAAGTTGCAATGAATTGAACCAGTCAACCTCATGGTTAATTGACTGTATGTTTCCTCTGAGTCAGTGGTGAGCTGTGAGGGCCCAGAAAACTGATTTGATTTTAGACTGCTTTGATAGAAGTTAGAATGAACATCTATAGTCAAGGATATTTTTGTACATCTGCCTTTTGCTTTTTGTACAGACCTCAAGAGTTGTACAAGATGATCATTTACACACTGACTTGTCTGAGGGAACAAAGGGAGAAAAGAGAGAAAACTCTTGAAGCCTTATCGCATTCATTCATAACTAATACATTAATTCTTTGACTTCCCCTTTGACATTTTTTGACCAAGCAGAATGCGTGGGGAAAAAAAGACAGGTTTCTGCCTTCCAAGTATTCATAATATAGTTTAGGGTAACAGACACAGCAATAATTACAGCAGAGTAATAACTGATCTGATAAAGGTAGAAAAGGGAATGCTGGGGGAAGAGGGTGCTAAACATCAGCCAGAGGATGCTCAAAGGAGTTAAAATTTAGTTCCAGTTCGGAAGATTCCAGTTTTGTACAAGTTTGCTAGGTAAAAATGCTGAGAAAGAGCTTTCTGGAGCGGGCACCTGGGTGGCTCAGTTGGTTAAGCGACTGCCTTCGGCTCAGGTCATGATCCTGGAGTCCCAGGATCGAGTCCCGCTTCGGGCTCCCTGCTCGGCAGGGAGTCTGCTTCTCCCTCTGACCCTCCTCCCTCTCATACTCTCTGTCTCTCATTCTCTCTCTCTCAAAATAAATAAATAAAATCAGAGCTTTCTGGAGCAAGGGAAAATTGTGTTTGAAAGTAGGACAGGGTGAGAGAGCATGACAAACACAAATCATGGCACACTGTTCCCGTGTTGCCCCATCCTTTCCTGGCTACAGGACATTGGTAAATTATTTTGCCTCTCTGAGCTTTAGTTTCCTCAAATGTAAAATGAGGATCATATATTATTTTACACCATCGGACACTGATTTAATCTTCAAGTCTCTCCTACGGGGAGTCTACCTCACAACTTTGTTGGAAGACTTAGTCGCATATAAAACACAAGGCTGTCTGATGTACAGATGACAATCAATCACTGTGGTTCTGTCTACCATCTCCTTCTCATGAGTACAGAAAACACTAATCTAGCCTTGAGTGTGGATGGGATTTATGACTTTCACGCATGTTCTAACTGCGCTTACTGTTCAGAATAAAGTATGAAGTTCTACTTCCACTACCACTAACTACCTCATTCCCCAGCCACTGAAGGCTTTACTTCATCACACCAAGGCTGTGTTGCTAGCCTCGTTTTAGGGTCAGACTCTGTAAAAGGAGTTCCGCCCACATTGAGAGTTCTTTGCTGGCAAAGGTTAGCATTCCTACATTTGCAGGATAGGATCTCTGACCCTGCACTTTATTTAGGCCTTCCTTGAGGCTCATTGGTTCTGTCTAAGCTATTGCAATGCATCTTAACAAAAATTTATATGGGGAGGGGATATTGAAAATTGGTTATTTATTTAGGAGTACCAAAATGCAAACTGAACATTTTAGAGGAATTCTTTATAGGATTTTATCCTCTTGTGACTTTTCCTTGGTATTGTTAACTTTTAAAATCCTTTTAAATTTGGTAGACTTTGCCTCAAAATCCAACTTGATCATGCATGAGTTATCCCTCTTGCAAACGTTGTACAAATTTGCTGAACAATTGAATATCTAGAGTGAACCCATTTAGACCTCAGGCTCTTTTGTTGCCAAGCCATGCAAAGCAAGGAACATTTCCACAAGCCATTTAGACAACAAAAGAATTTAACTACTTTCAGTTTCAGTCATTATAGGGAAAAACAGTTGCCAGGCACAGACCAGGCCTGTTTGCTATGGAAGGCCTACATCAGGCCAGGGACTGGCATTCTCACTAGGCCAAGCAGACTAGCTCCTGAGTAAGAACTTTTTGAGGGAATTGTTTCAGTCATTCATTTAGCGAATATTACTTTAATTTCATCAGTTAATTTCAGTATTTCATTATCTGTACTGTGCATGTGGAATGCTGAGTTTGATTCAAGATCCTTAGCCTCAAGTATAATAAGAACATGTTGGAGAGCTAGTTAAAATTTGAATTTCTGGGGGCGCCTAGGTGGCTCAGTCAGTTAAAGTCGGCCTTTGGCTTAGGTCATGATCCCAGGGTTCTGGGATCCAGCCCCACATGGGGCTCTCTGCTCAGCAGAGAGTCTGCTTCTCCCTCTCCCCCACCCCTTCCTCCTGCTCATGTGTGCTCGCGCTCTTTCTCTCTGAAATAAATAAATAAAATCTTAGGAAAAGAATTCAAATTTCTGGATCCTATGCCTTAGAGATTCTGATGTATTACATTCATTGCAAGGCCCAGGAATCTGCATTTTAATAAATCCCATAGTGCTGCTGATGCTGATGGGTGCTTTTTCTATTTTTTAACCAATGTTTTTCCAGCATTTGTATACATACACATTTATATACACTCTTTGGTGAACAGTGTAATTTGTCTAGGCCTTATCATTATTGTTCAAGTGTCTAAACAAATCCAAACTCTAGTCCACTCCCTGCTTTTAACCAAGTCAATTTACCTTTTTGTTGTTTTTAATTCGTAAAATAGGGACTTGGATTTCTATAAATTTCACTCTGTTCCTCAATTTGATGCTTTTCTCTCTGGATTCTCTCTTGGACATCCAGATTAGGAGCATC